CCTGCAACTGGAAAAAGCAATTTGGAGGTAAGCGTCACGCTATTGTCCTATGGATTTAATTTCCTACTCTAATTTTTGAGTTTTTCCATCAGACATCTTTTCCAGGTTGAGTCTTATTTATTTAAAATAAGTTTGTTTTATCAGACACAAAGTGGCCGGACATCATCTTGCCTAACCCCGGGGTTTCTCAGCTTCAGCACTAGTGGCATTTTGGGCCAGGAGATTTTTCTCATGGAGGCTGTTGTGTGGATTGTGAGATGTTTGGTTATTTAGCAGCATCCTTGGCTTCTACTCACTAGTTTTCGGTAGCATGCCCCACCCCCCCACCCAGTTCCCCAGTTGTGAAAACTAAAAACGTCTCCAGATATTTATGACAAATGTACCCTGGGGGTCAAAATCATCCCTGATTGAGAATCGCTGCCTTACCAGTAGGGACATAGAATTACGTCCCCTTGATCCCTTCTAACAATGTTGACTTATCTATCATCTCTCTCCTTTATTTTCTTCTAAGTTCCTTTTATTTTTCCTTTCCCCTTTTCTTATTTATCCTCCTCCTTCTCCCTGTATTTCTCTGTCACTTTCAGTCCCTTTCTGTCTCTTTTGATCTCTCCCCACCCTCCACACCGGTTTATAGATATACTTAAAGAATCTAGTATGGCTGGGCACAGCCACTTTTCACAGATTTTTCTCTTGCTGCATATAGTCAGCCTCATGCTGGACTGATCTATTTGTTTGAGATAGAGTCTCTCAACACTTCCAACTTTAACCCCACTATTGAACCTACAAATAACCTCTTAGTTCCACATTTCAGACTTTTTGTCTTTCTTAGCCATGGTAGGACATGATGCCCCAAATGTCTTACCTCTGTGTTCTACAGAAATGCAACATGGACTATAGGCAAGTAAAGGGCAAAGAACATACATACACGTATATCTCTTTTTTCCTCTATAACCTTTGGGACACTTTTTTTTTAATGAAAGTAAGTTCTATAAAGCATGGTAGAGTTTAGATATATTCAGTCTTAGATTATATATGGGTACCTTAAAGGCATACCTACAAAAAGTTTAAAAGAGACACTTTTTTTTTAATGAAAGTAAGTTCTATAAAGCATGGTAGAGTTTAGATATATTCAGTGTTAGATTATATATGGGTACCTTAAAGGCATACCTACAAAAAGTTTAAAAGATGCGCCTTAAAGGACTCATATATTGAATATATTAAGGACTTTCAAAACTCAACAGTAAAAAAAACTAACAATTTAATAAGAAAGTGGGCAAAGCTATTAACAGACATTTTACTGAAATGGATATATAGGGGTCAAACACCTGAAAAGATGTTTACCTTATTTTCCCCACTTAGGAAATAAAAATTAAAACCATAATGAGATATCACTATACACCTATCAGAGCAGCTATTATAAAAAAATCAGTGATAATAACAAATGCTAGCAAGGGTGCAGAGAAACTAGATCACTTATACACTGTGAATGGAAATTTAAGGTGGTATAACCACACTACAAAACAGTATGAGAGTGTTTTACAAAAATAAACATGTGTTTACCATATAACCCAGCATTTCCTTGGGCATTTATCACAGAGAAATGAAAAATTATGTTTTTCTGAAAACCTATACATGAGTGCATATAGCAGATTTGTTAGTAATAGCCAACAGCTGGAAGCAATCCAGATGTCCTTCAACTGGTGAATGGTTAAACACTGTGATACATTCTTACTGTGGGATACTATTCAGCAATAAAAAAGGAACAGATTATTGATGCACACAACTTGGATGGATCTCTAAGAAAGTATGCTAAGTAAAAGCAGCTAATATCAAAAGTTTATATACTGTATAATTCTATTTATACAACATTCTTAAGATGACAAAATTATAAAGCTGGAGAGCAGATTAGTAATTGCCATGGGTTAAGGAGGTGGGAAGAGAGAAAGGTAGCTAGGTTATGGCTACAAAAGATGACCTGAGGGACGCTGCCTTGGAACATTCCTATTATTAGTGATGATAGTGGTCACATGCCTCCACACTTGATAAAATTGCACAGAACTAAATGCACACACGTATATAGAAGTGAGTCCATATTAAACTGGTGAAATCTGAATATCTGTGGAATGTCAATTCTGTGGTTGTACTATTAGATTATAGTTATGCAAATCATCAGTTGATGGAAGCTGGGTGAAGAGTGTGTGGAATCTCTGTATTGTTTCTTATAACTGCATGTGAATCTACAATTATCTCAATACAAAAAAAAAAGTGTGCTTTTATCATGACACTACAGCATGATCTGTCAAGGATTTCCATTTGGTCCTATCCCGCCTTTAGCGGAGTGCAAATACCAGTTCCAGGCCTGGGGAGAATGTGACCTGAACACAGCCTTGAAGACCAGAACTGGAAGTCTGAAGCGAGCCCTCCACAATGCTGACTGCCAGAAGACGGTCACCATCTCCAAGCCCTGTGGCAAACTGACTAAGCCCAAGCCTCAAGGTAGGTCCCTGCTGTTACAACACAATTTAAAATAAATGAATTTATGGACTCAGGCAAGATCTTCACATATACAAACCCAAATTTTCCAGAAGGAAATATTAGGTGAATTGCCTTAAGAAAGCAATTGAAAAAATCCCATATATTGAACATCACAAAAGTACTTTCCAGCTGGTATGAGTTCAAACTGAAGTCCTCTGCATAGATGGGGGTATTGGTACAGTCTTCTAACTCGAATAAATAACTTAGGAAAACATGCTAATGTAGACAGTTGTTGTATGGTGACCAAATATTCCAAACCCCAAGTTGGAACTACATTCTGACAAGACAAATGAACTTGTGAAGTTCTTGAGGCAGAAAAATTTAAACCAAACCTCTTCTAGATTATTCAAAATATAGTTTTCATAAACTCAAGAAAATTATTTTACATTTTTTCTTTCTCCATCACATCACTTCATAGGTGCTGTACTTCTTATACTTCTTTCAGAGCCTTTATATATTACTTTAGTTGGACTAGTTTGCCAACTGCATTCATCATTCAAGTGATGTAAGACTCTCTTTCCCAGAAAGTCAGGCTCTGCTCTTGTGCTGGAGAAGGTAAGCCAAAGGCAAACATCATGGCCATGGTTTCATACAAATAGAGTCCCAGCCAAGGGAAATCAAAGAGGTTTTAATTAATTTTATTTTATGGGTGTTATGGGTTGAATTGTGTTCCTTCAAAATTCATATATTGAATTCCTAACTTCTAGTACCTCAGAATGTGGCTGTCTTCAGAGACAAGGTCTTTAAAGAGATTAAATTTAAAATGAGGTTATATGGGTGGGCCCTAGTACAATATGGCTGGTGTCCTTATTGGAGAGATTAGGACATAAATGCACATAAGGGAAGACAGGACGAAAAAAAACCTTAGAAGAAATATATCCTACTGATACTTTGATCTCAGATGTCTAGCCTCTAGAACTGTGAGAGAATATATTTCTGTTCTTTAAGCCACCAACTCTGTGGTTTTTGTTACGGCAGCCTAGGAAATTAATACAATGGGCCTCAGTAAACTCTAAATTAAAATACCATCCTGGCCTCTACTCATATTTGAGCTCTAAAATGGACCTGAACAGTCATACTGTGAGATTAATTATAAAGAGAAACTCAGAACAATGACCATGTAATAAATGACCATAATAAATGAAAATAGGAAAAAAATTCCCTATAAGCTGAGGAGGACTGGCTGGTTCGCTGCTTGTGGTCAGAAAGGACTCTTTTCACAGACCTGGCTCTTTGGCCTCTGGTGGAGATGTCCACGGAAATGGTTACCTCAACTTCAGGATGGCCAGGTACAGAGTGGACCTGCAAATGATGAATCTGGGATTCAGGCTGCCCTTTTTGGAACAAGGAAATCTTTGCTTGTTGTAGTGTGGATTTGGAAGGCACTGTGAGTTTGTGCCAACTTTACAAATGTCACTTGTCCAGAGACAACCGCAAAGATCTAATCAAAATCAGTAGCCATATCCATTAAGTGAAACTTTGCTAAAAATGGAGGAACTCAGAGATGCAGTCTTCAAATTATATTTTTAACCCAGCGGCAGAACCAAAATATTCAGCATAAATATAGAATGGAAAGGAAAAGAAATTGAGGAAGTTTCCATGTTCTAACACAGTGGTGCTCAATCTGGGTTCTAAAAATTTAAATACTCCTTAGAAGGTTTCAGTATGCAGCCAAAATTGAGAACCACTGTTTTAGTATGAAATGCATTGACAAAGACCCCCCCCCGCCACAGGCACATACACACAGACACATACACACCCACACTTACACATTCATTCATACACACACATGTATATACACACACACATACATATAGGCACACACACCACACATACACACATTCATATACACACGTGTATATACACACACACATACACACAGGCACATACACACACATACACACAGGCACATACACACACACATACAGGGACACACACACACACACACACACGCATATACATGCATGCACGCTGTCCTTGTTCTCTTCCATGGGAGAGAAAAATTGCAGCTTAATGAGTGGGGAGAAAAAAGTGGGAAAGGGACTAGATGGAGAACACTGGGGCTGGGTGCGTATGAAAAATGTTGAAAAGTTTAGAATAAAAAGGACAAAGTTAGGGACACGATTAAGAAAGTCCCCTAAGGCTATTTGGAGAATACATTCAATGAGGCTTTCCTTTTCATTGAACTGGTGGGTATTTCACCTTTTTACATTTTCCCATCTAGTAATATTCAGTGAAGGTTAAAAGTTTAATTCAGGCTTCCATTATGAGACAAAGTGGTAGAAATATTTCAAGTTGGTAGACATTCTGTAATTTCCATACATATTAATGAATTAAAATACATAATTAATTGAAAATGGGATTACCCTGAGTGAGCTCTATGTTTCAAGCTGCCAGTTATGTAGGTCATTAGAATGCCTCCTTCCCCTTTTGCATAACATACCGCTGTTAACACGATCCAATCTTTTCCCTCTCAACAGTGGTGGGTTTTATAAATGCCATGTTGGCACTAAACACTGCACAAAGAATAATTTATCATAGTAGTTGAGCCAGGGAGCTGTGTCAGATAGAAGATTTTCTTAACCGGACAACACATATATTCCAGGACATAGTTTTCACAGTTTAAATAAAATGAAAACACGTGGCATATGTGAGCTGTGAATATTTCTGTACTGTTTATCTCAAATAGCCCTGGGTGAATATTACAGCTTTCCCTTTGTGAGTTTCTAATCTTAAGGCAGCTGATTTTCTCCTGATCAATGGAGAAGCAAAGAATAAAATGAAGTCTATATTATCATCACCATTATTCTAATAATCCTATGCATTGCTCTAGGTGTTTTACATATATCATTTCATAAAGTCCCATATATCCTTGCAGGTAGATATGATTGTAAAGGAAACTGAGAAACCTTGATTCATTTATTTGCCCAGGGGCATATCTCTAATAAATGACAGAGCCAAGATTTTGTTAACTCTAAACTCATGTTCTCTTTTGTACACTGATGATTTCTCACCTAAATCACATACGGATATGAACTAACCTCCATGGTTTTATTTATTTATTATTTGAAATAGCAGAAGGTGAGCTTTGGAAAGCCCAATACTGATATACCAGATGAAAGAAGACATTATTTGTCCTACTTTATATAGGAGAAAGCTTAGGTTCAGAGAGGTTAAGCAACTTGCTGGAGGTTTCACAGCATATAGTGGTGGAGCCGGGATTTAACATCAAAGTCAGACTGACACAAAAGACCTGCTGGCTTTTCATTCCTCCATCTGTCCCTTGGTATTATAAACTCATAAAACTGGTCATATTATCTAAATTTTTATGTCTAGATCATTAAATGGTAGAGCTTCTAAGGACTTTGCCTATTATCTGATCTAACTCTCATATAACAAATGTGGACAGAGAAAATCAATTCTGTTGTCTAGTAGTGGAATCAGCTGCAAGTTTTTATCTCTTCTGACACCATTTTTCTACCCTTTTTTAAACATGGGAATTAGAGGAAAGAGACTTTCCAAAATAAATGGCATAGAGTATTGTGGTTTTGAAGAAAGTCAGTAATTGTTGTAGGTTTATTTCATATAATCTAGTCACTGAGCTCAAAGACAGAAAGTACATTTTTTTTTATGATTATCCTTCTCATCAAACATGTGAATAGGCTCTGTTTTATTTGTTTTGCTTTGTTTTCCTGTTAGTTTTAGATAACTGATTTGTTTGGTTTCTGATATTTTTTGTTTGGGGAAATGGTAGTGGATTAATATGCAAACTGCTTTATTTTCAGCATGAAAAACAGTCTTTACATTTTAGAAAGGAGCGTAAAGATGTTGGTAAGGCTGTGACTACCCAGCACTCAATTGAGGGAAGACTGGAGAATACCTTTGTGACTTGATTACTGATAATAAGGCTAAAAGATTAAAAGATTTGGTTAGGAGGTGGGGGAAGTCTTTATATCTAGAATTGCCATCCAAACTCTGAGAAGTTACTGAATATCCCACTTATTTGATTAAAAATTGCCTAAGATTCATCACAGTCCAGTGCAACAGCATTACTTCTTGAGATATAGAAGCCGTCCTTCCTGTGGTTGTGTCAATATTGTGCAAACTCTATACTCATGCCTCAGTCCAGAGTTTCAATGACACAGGGTATCATACCTGAAGATTGTCTTGTGTGGAACCCCACTTAATCTGAGGAGAGCTTTTAGCCATACACTTCTCTGTAATATACCCAGAAGAAGAGAGGGTATTAATATTCTTAAGGAGACATAAGCATTGAGAGAGGCATATTTGGAATGTAGCTTTCCTGGGGATGGAGGCAGCATTGCTGTGGGGAAGGATCATTGATTGACTGAAATATTGTAACTGAAATTTGCTTATTTATTACCAGAGTTGGTGAACAATTGTGTTGGACACTTGACTTTTTAATTTCTGAGGAAAACAGATTAATATTTTTAATTAATTTAGTTTGGTTAGTTAAGAATACCCTGTATCTGTCAGGGTTTTCAGATGCAGCAAGATCTACTCTAGCTAGTTAAGCAGAATGGGGTTTATTCAAGGGTATTATATAGTTCAAGGAATCTCCAGAAGGGACAAAGGATCTGGCTTGGATGCTGCAAGACCAGGAAAAAGGTAGCCAACAGCAACAGATCAAGGAGAAATTTCTTATCACACCACACATGACTGATCTAGCAGAAACCCTTCTGCTCAGACATATAATGCTAAGCATTACACACTGGAAACTCCACTGTAGCTGTCCCCTTAAAAGCGAACACTTCCACTTCCTTTCTTGCTAGGATATCCAGTCTCTCTGCATTTGGACCCTGTTTCTAGTTGCTCATTTCTATGTCATACCTCATTGAAGCATGCCTGCTTGATAGAAACTAGGCCACATAGGAAATCCTGCTGCAAGGGGGACTGGAAGATGTGTCTTTAACTTTCTAACTCTATCTCTAAATACAAGA